GTAGTCTAGTAGAGTACTTGATAACTTGACCAATTGTCCACTTCCCAGCTTTAACATGCCAAAACATAACAAGTTGATGACCTATTTACCTGGATACAACATAGAATACATAAACAAGTATCAAATTCACAAAGCATTGAAGTATACAATGTAAAAAATACTTAGAAGATACAGAATGATCTTGAGTTGTTTTTACAAAATCAGAACTTCCCAATTCCCAAATGACTATAGAAGACAATGAGATGTCTCAGAATGCTTATTATCATTCATAAAGGATAGGGGGCATCCGCTACCATTTCAGTTATCACTTTAGAACTGAAAGAGCAATACCTACCCTAAACCCCTTAGATTCAGTAATGAGTGGAAGCTTCATCATTGCCATATATATTACTTAATATATCATATATATATCAGACCGATATGTTATAATAGGGTCACAAGATAGACTGAAAAAGAAAATGACAATCCAATTGTATTTCATTTTGAACTCAGACTATATACAAGCTTAATAACAGCATACCACTATACCAGATCACCAGTAGAAGACATAAACAAGTATCAACTTCACAAAGAATTGGAGTATACTATGAAAATAATACTTAAAAGATACAGAATGAGCTGTTTTTACAAAATCAGAACTTCCCAATTCCCAAATGACTATAGAAGACAATGAGATGGCTCAGAATGCTTATTATCATTCATAAAGGACAGGGGGAATCCGCTACCATTTCAGTTATCACTCTAGAACTGAAAGAGCAATACCTACCCTAAACCCCTTAGATATATCAGACTGATATGTTATAATAGGGTCACAAGATAGACTGAAAAAGAAAATGACAATCCAATTCTATTTCTTTTTAAACTCAGACTATATACAAGCTTAATAACAGCATACCACTATACCAGATTACCAGTAGAAGACATAAACAAGTATCAACTTCACAAAGAATTGGAGTATACAATGAAAATAATACTTAGAAGATATAGATTGAGCTGTTTTTATAAAATCAGAACTTCCACATACTTATCAGACATATCAGACTGATATTTAACAATTAACAGCATCATACCAGTACAAGATGATTACTTCATTACTTCACACATACTTCATGCTCCATAGTGAACAATCCAGATTCCAGACCCCAGACCATCAAATTAACATATTGGATATTTCATCCTGTATAAGTAAACTGTAAAAGTAAATACTCATAAACTTTAGAAGTAAATACTCATAAACAGTTTAAGGTATGCAAAGTTAAGCTCAGATTGATTCCAAGTTATCTCACATATGATCTCACAAAGGATATGGGCATACTATCCAAACAGGATTAACACCAACACAATCATCCATGGGTCATGGGATAATTAGTCAAAAGTTTAAAGTCAAAACTCTAAACCCTGGAAACATTCATCACAGCCAAATGTGTGTTCATATCATCATAGGTATGAACTGTAACATAAAAGTGGTTTACCATGCAAGCTTTCTAAGGGACCAAGGGACAAACGGATAAGGGGCCAATAACATTGTACCAAGTAGGCACTGGAATGAGTGGAATCTTAATTCCATCATAGTAGTTCACTAGTTCTTTCCAGTTCCACAATGAGGCATCATAGTCAGATAATCAAATATTCAAATTCAATATGAAATGCTTCACAAATTAATTCCAAAAATTAGCAATGATGACAAAAAGTGTACACTCAATGGGACATTAGAGGATCCAGTAGCCCCAGTCAGTAGTAGCACTACTAAGATTTACATCTGTTAATTCTATAAAACAAAGAAATAGCAGTGTTAGAAATGAAAAATGAAAACATTATATTACAAATTATGTTTAAATAAACAAAAAAAGGCATAACAGTACTACCTTTTTCTAATCTGTCCACATCATCCATGTTTTCTTCAACTGAAATAGGCTGGTTAGCCATTCTCAACCAATCTTGTGCACATATAAGGGCTTCCACAATTTTGGGACTTAAAGAACTTCTAAAACAGTCCAAAACCCTACCACTGGTACTGAATGTGGACTCAGAAGCTACTGTGGAGATTGGAATACCAAGTACATCTCTAGCCATCTTAGATAGAATAGGAAATCTTTCACTATTTAACTTCCACCATCTCAGTATATCAAAGTCCATATCTTCCTCAATTATTGACTCTTCAAGATATATATCAAGTTCAGTTTTCTTAACTCCTAACTGATCATTCTCTAGTTTCTTTTTTTTTTAACTCAGCCTTAAATCTTGACACTGGCCTGTGCTCAGCATTATTGACTTCCACAAATGCAGCACTATGTGAACTAGAATTAGAACTTCCACCAACACAATCAGAGTATGTAACAACATAATCAGCATATAACTCAATGAGGCCAGACTTCACTTTGGCAACCCTGACATGATATTATTATTTGTCTTATACCTAGACATGTCAACATGAATTGGTTATTTGGTTACTTGTTTTCTGAATGTACAATGGCATCTGATCACTTATCATGTGGAAGCTTATGATGTGAATGGGTTGCCTATTTCTCATTTCTGAATGTCTATTGTGTTGCCTATTTGTACATAACTGCACTTATTTACTGATTGTTGATGAAGAAGCCTTTTTTTACTCTTGTACTCAAAGGAGTAATGAGAGTTGACTGGTTTCTTCCAAGTCTGTAGAGAAGTGATTATGCACAATGCATATTATCCTTCTGTAGATCAACTTGCTGATTGTTCCAGACTTAGTGTATCATGTATGGTGTTACTTGAGGTGTAATCTTGACTATATGACATAAACTGATAAACATCACTTATCATGTGGAAGCTTATGATGTGAATGGGTTGCCTATTTCAAATTTCTGAATGTCTATTGTGTTGCCTATTTGTACATAACTGCACTCATGTACTGATTGTTGATGAAGAAGCCTTTTTTACTCTTGTACTCAAAGGAGTAATGAGAGTTGACTGGTTTCTTCCAAGTCTGTAGAGAAGTGATTATGCACAATGTATATTATCCTTCTGTAGATCAACGCCTGAAGAACACAGACGCACGACCGTGCGTAAAAGGACGCACGATCGTGCGTAAGAGCCAACAATGAGACAACTAATCTGCCTGCTAGTCTGCTATGCACGATCGTGCATACCCCCGAAACGCGGATTTCAGCCCCTTTTTAGTCCGAGTTCAGCCCAAACTCATCTGTTTTCTATAAATAAGGCTTCCCTTCTCCTGTTTAAGTGTTACGAACATTACGGAGAGGCCTAAGGACGAATTTAACACCGTTTTTACGCTATTTGCTTCGAGAATCATAGGATTACTTGTAAGTTCATCTTTTTAATTAACGACAACTTATTCTATCCATCCCAATTCTGTTGATTCTTCAATTATGAATTGTGAGTAGTTTAATTAGGGATTTGTGGTTGATGAAGGGGTTAATCATGATTGATGGCTAAATTCTTGTCGGTTTAATTGCATGTATGTCGTTTAATTTGTGTTTGAATAATTTAACTGATATCTCTTGTAACCTAGAACACACGCTAGAATTACAATTGCTTGTAGAATAAATTAAGAGAGATCTAGTTTATTCTAGGACACCTTCACACACACACTTAATCGTTCGCTAAGAGATTAGTAGCGATTAAGGGGCCGTAAGCTCGCTCGTCTTGGCAATAATTTAGGATCCTGTCGCATGAGAGATCAGCCTGGTCCCCTAAATTATTGTACTCTACTCCGCGAGAGCGGTAAGAACTTAGTAATGATTAGCTAGGCTCAATTAAATTAATTTCATGTAATTAGGCCTGATCTGCTAGAAATCTGGTTACCCCGGAATCAATCCCTGTTCCCTTAGTCGTTAATTAGAGAGAAAACCAATCTTTTATTAATACATGTCGTTTAAATAGAAAAAACGGAGCAATTCTGGCCGAAAAGGTTAATACCCTGGCAATGACTCTTTACCTTCGTAATATTCACACTTATTTTCAAGTCATTCTATATTTTCTTTACCAATTCAACTTGGCATGTGCATGTATTTTCTTTGATTTTATTCTTGTACTTTTCTTTAAGCCAGGCTTTACTTACCACCTTCACCTTGAATTTTTTATTGCATATATGTGTGTACCTACCTACCCATGTCTTTATCTGGAAGCAGTGGTACTGCTTTGCCCGTGAATTAATGCATCTGAAAGGACAATTCACATAACATGTCACTTGAACTTCCATGGGCGCATTCCTTACCCATCTAAGACCACGCTTAAAATAAATTGCATAGTTTATTATAGCAGCTTTGAACTCCCTTGCATCTTCAAACAACATTTCCAATTGAACCTCTTTGGAATATAAATTTGATTGTATGATGAACATTTGCAAATTTTCTTCACTTTTGAATCCACCTGATGGCCCTCTTCATTTTCAGAATATGAGTACAAACTAGGGGGTCTTCAGAGTCATAATACTCACTACATTCTTACTCACCGTCAAAGTCAGACTCTGAAATACTGCCAGTACCCTATTCACTCAATAATTTTAAGCGTCTTTTAATTGCCCATCGTTGTCAGGTTATCATTTTGAGCCTCTTTTATATTCACCCAATCATTTGAGCCTCTTGATGTTATCACTTCTCTGACACTTTTGTCAAATTCTATACCTATATTCACACACAATTTAATCAAAAAATCAAAACCCTCCAATGTGACAATGGTAAAGAATTTGATAATTCATCTTTTTCCACTTTTGCTACACAACATGGTCTACACTTTCGTTTCTCATGCCCATACACATCTCCCCAAAACGGCAAAGCCGAGCGTACCATACACACTATTAATAGTTATTATTGTACGTGGACGACATCATTCTTACAACTTCTTCGGATGAACTTCGGTGCTCTACAATTAAAACATTAGCCGCCGAATTTTCCATGACGGACCTTGGCCCTCTCAACTATTTTCTGGGTATTGCTATAACCCGCCACCCTCACGGTCTCTTTCTTTATCAACAAAAATATGCCGGTGAACTTCTGTCTCAGGCAAATCTTTCGGACTGCAATCCAGTAGCCACACCAGTTGACACAACCTCGAAACTAAGTGCTACTGCCGGCCCCTCAGTTGATGACCCTACTCTCCACCGGAGTCTTGCCGGTGCCCTACAATATCATACTTTTACCCGTCCCGACATCTCATATGTCGTTCAACAAATATGTTTGTTCATGCATGACCCTCGTGCGCCTCATCTTCATGCACTCAAACAGATTCTCCGTTATATCAAAGGCACTATTAACTACGGCCTGCACCTTAAGCCGTCCTCCATCACTAGCTTAATCTCATACTCCGACGCTGGTTGGGGTGGCTGCCCGGATACCCGCCGGTCCACCTCCAGCTATTGTGTCTATCTTGGAGACAACCTTCTTTCTTGGTCCTCTAAACGGCAACCGACTCTATCTCGCTCAAGTGCCGAAGCTGAATATCAGGGTGTAGCTAATGTTGTCGCCGAGACATGTTGGTTACGGAATCTCCGATCCTTTTCGAACTTCACTGTCCTCTTTCCAAAGCTACTATGGTCTATTGTGATAACATCAGTTCAGTCTATATGTCCGGCAATCCCGTTCAACATCATCTCACCAAACATATCGAAATGGATCGGATATCCACTTCGTTCGAGAAAAGATTGCTCGCGGGGAGGTTCGAGTTCTTCATGTTCCATCATGTCATCAATTTGCCGATATCTTCACCAAAGGCCTTCCCCGTATTTTATTTGACGAGTTCCGCTCCAGTCTAAGCATCCGGCCACCTCCCGCTTTGACTGCGGGGGGTGTTAACGTGTGCATCATTGCATGTCCCATGCATGCCGTCCAAAAGACTCGGCCACTCAGAATATCACTTCCGCACAGGGCCGGCCATGGGGGCATGCAGCCTAGACAATTGTCTAGGGCCCCCAAATTCTTGGGGCCTCCAATTTTTTTATGTAAGCCCATATATATTATATATGTATGTTTAATTTAAATTGTTTATTGTGATAAAATATCTCCTATATCAAGTAAAAACCTGCGGAAGAGTCAAGGCATCTGTTTCCGTAATGCCGTAATGGTCTTCGACTTTTGTAATTTCTAACTTTCTTGTCTTTCTTTGTTTCTGGCAGCTTCAAATCCTTCTTTATTGATTTTATTGATTTATCTTTTAATTTGTTTACCTTCAATTATTAATTTTTTACTACTTAATCGGTTATGGCAGTAGGTAATAGGCGTTGTAGGGCCTAGGCTATTAAGTATTGGGTGTATCAATCTATTATAATAAACCAAAATCCAAATAATAATAATAATAATTCAATCTAGTCATTTAATTGATTGTATATTTCTACAATTGATTAATTGTACTTGTATTATTGAATATTGAAAGTTAGAAAAACTTTATCTAGTTAGAAATTGTATAAAGTTGTATGAAATTGGTGACGAGAAAAAGAAAGCATGACTTGAGATGTACAAAGAGAAAGAACAAATTAAGAAAGAACATGAGTATAAATCGCTTGCTAACCCTATGGATCGCTACTATACATAATCCATTTTTTTTTATCAATTTTGGATCTTTTGGTTTTGAAGAATACTCCCATTAAATTAATATTATATGATGCATTTCATCTATAATTGACTTATGTTTCATTTGATATTTCATTTGAACAAAATATATGATCTTCTAGGGCCTCATAATTGCTCTAGACGGCCCTGCTTCCGCATAAATGGTTAGTATTGTTGTATATTCAAATTATTTTGAATTCTTGTTGTACAATGCACAGCTCACGCATGCCTCTTCTAATACGAGAGTTTATACACCACGAAGGTGAATGAAATAATCACGTTGAATTCCAATTTATAATACAGTTAGACATGCAATACATCTCTACAAGGTTGCGTTCCCTAAATGATTTTTTTTTTTTTGTAATTTACAAAGCTTCAAAGGTGCATTCCTTGAATGATTTTTTTTTTTTGTTAAACAACAACTATAGCAACATTGATTAACAAGCTGCGTTCAAACCCAAACACCTAAGGTCCTAAAGCGCTCTTTGCTTTCTTATCCTATCACTTTTCTTTTTCAAATAAGTTACTTGAAATCCCTAAAATTAGGAACCGGATAAACTATAAAAGGTGCTTTTTACTTTAATTTATAAATGTATTTTTTTTCTTTTATTATGTTCATAAGTGTATTAGTAGTACTTCCTCCGTTTCACGTAAAAGTTCTCGATTCAGGTAAAGGTTCTGGTCAACGTAAATTATTCTTAATCTGTTGCTTTATACGTAGTATATTAAACTTTTATCAAATATGATTTTTTTTGGTGACTTCATAAAACTTTTAATGTAGTTTTCAAATATGTAAATTTTATTCACTAAAAATGAACTTATTATTAACATGATTTAATTATCTTTATGACTAGTCAAATATCATAAACCGCATGGAAACCCTTATCTGGGACTGAGAAAGTACTGTGTGCATACCATGACTCAGATGCCTAGGTCCGCCATTTATTACTACTGTTACTTAGTCACTTAGCCCAACATTATGACTAGTAATTTAATTTATTTTGATTTATTAGGGCCTCATATTTTATTTTTGAACAAGGCCTTCTATTTCTCGAGGCCGGCCCTGCAAGTTATACACAACTTGTACACAAATTATCATTCACAGGCAATTGGTACGGAGTTGCCCGTGAGTATAGACAAGAGTTGCATGTGTACACAGACAACTTTTGTTTGTGTCCACAGATATTAATTTTTGTGAAAAAGTATGATAACAATTGTCTGAACTGACACCGCCTTGCAAATCAATCTATATATGTGACGTGTTTGCGTGCACAGACAATATTTTTATGTTGCACAAACAATATTTTTGTGTAAAAAGTACACCGACAACCACTTGACACTGACATCATATTGCAACAATCTAATTATGTGTCTTGCATGTGTGCACAGACAATATTTTCCTATTGCACAAACAATTATTTGTTTGTCTGTACAGACAATATTTATCACACAAACAGCAGTCGTGCGACTCATAGACAATAGTAGTTTCTGTGATCAACTTTTCTTTTTGGTGTGATCAATTTGAATTGTATGCACAAACAAAAATTATAATTGTCTGTATATATCCAAATGAATGCTGTGGATGTACGTGTGATCAATTTACATGTAACTCGGGAAAAAAATAGAAAAATAAGAAAAAATAGATGAAATAATATGGATTTTTCTATCATTTGCAAGGGAGCCAAGGACTCACTATTCTTTGGCTTGAAAATATGATGGAGTAAAGCAAAACGGGTCACAAAACTGTTTGCGCTTCTTTGTTATGAAGCAACAGTCAGTTCATGCAATTTCCGATGCGATTTTCACTATGGATCATCCAGAAACAGTCTTTATGCGCTTTAGTACAGAGGTCTTTCAGTCCAAAAATAATTATAAGTTTGAAATTGAAAAAGCGGCTACTTATATCCAATTCTACCTTTCATTATATTTATATCACCATTTAATATTGTTAGTATAAAATATTTCTTTAAAACATTATCTGTTAGACTGTTAACCGATTTAGAAACTCAAAACGGGGTAAATTTTATATTTTTTGTAAACTCAATTGGCGCAGGGGCGAATTGTAGCATTTTAAAAAACTGCATTCAATGTCTGCTTGGGTAAAACCCTTATGAAATATACTCTGTAATATTTCAACCTAACCTATTTTACTTCGCAAATTACGAGCGCTCAACATCTCTTTGCGAGTGTTTGCAATTGCTTTTACTTTGAAAAAGCACTTTTTGGAAAATGTGATTGTAGTAAAAGTTGATAATGTTTGAGAAAAAGGTGATTTTGAAAAGTAAAAGTTGGTAGTGTTTGGTAAAATAAGTGTTTTTTGTGTAATAGAAAAAGTAAAAACACTTTTGACATGAAAGCCGAGAAAAATAAAAGTTGATAGTGTTTGGTAAAATAAGTGTTTTTTAAGCCAAAAGCTGAGAAGCGCTTTTTTAAGCGGTTGCAAACCAACCCTTTGTATTTTTTAAGCGGTTGCAAGCAAACCATTTAATATTGTTAGTATAAAATATTACTCTCTCCGTCTCTTAAAACACGGTCACCTTTCCTTTTTGGGACGTCCCAAATAACTTTACCACTTTCCCTTTCAATCAATTATTTTGTGGTTTCTGTTATTTCTGTCTCCTCTGCACAAACCTCAACCACAAAATTTTTACTTTATTACTCTCCGTGTTGGTCAACTTTGGCAAAGTTTTAAGGGATGGAGGTAGTATTTCAAAGGGGGATTTACCCAAATAGGAGTAATTAAATTATTAATTGCTAAAATAGGACTAAAGTTTAAAAATTCCCCAAATGGGAGTTATTATATGTAGCTATACAAAAATACCCCTGAAACTTGACAAACATACTCTCGCTGACTGACCGACCGACCGCCGGACCGACCGTTGTTGACCGCCGTCGGCCACCGCTGGCCGCCACAACCCATCGTTGCATCATCAAAACTAGCCGCCCCTGCCGATCTGACCGCTTCCGCTGCAGGCCGGGCCGCCGCCGTAGATCTATGCAGTTTTGGCCACCGCCGGTCACCAACTGCCGCCCTTAAAAATCCGGTAGCCACCCCCACATATCCGGCCACTGCTACTGCAGTTCCGACCACCATCGCCGATGTCGTCAGTTTTTTAGCAGAATGCCAACACGAATCGGAAATGCCATATTAATGACATTTTCAAAGGTAAATAGAAAGTTTTTGAAGAACAAAAATGCCATTTTGATGGCATTTCCAGAGGAAAATTGGCAATTGTAAAAACCAAAGAAGAAGATGGACATCAGATCTGCGACCAAACAGAATACTAGAAAGAGACAAACACAGAAGATTGAGAAGGAGGAAGGAGGAAGAAGAATGAGTTACTTTACTCCACCAGTCCACCGATGCTCGCCGATGCTCGCCGCTGCTCTCCGCCACCCTCGTCGCATCTGAAGGGCTCGTTGCAGGTTGCCAATCAAAGAAAATGAGAGGAGAAGAAAACCTAATCTATCAGGGAGGAAGGGAAATTGAATACGGAGTAATAATGTGTGGAGCAGGGGGGAAAGGTATGAGCGGAGCATAATGTCACACGTATGAGGGTAATTTTGGAATGGTGGTCCCATTTAGAGAAAATAAATTAACTGCTCCTATTTGAGATTTTGACTAAAAATTTAGTCCTACGGAAGGCAATTAGTTCTATTTCAAAACATTACACGTTAGACTTTTAACCGATTTAGGGTCTGTTTGCAACAGTTTCTGCTTTTAAAAAAGTGTTTTTTTTTATGAAATGGAGAGAAGTGATTAAATAAAAGTTGATAGTGTTTGAGAAAAAAGTGATTTTGAAAAGTAAAGTTGGTAGTGTTTGGTAAAATAAGTGCTTTTTGTGTAATAGAAAAAGTAAAAGCACTTTTGACATGAAAGCCGAGAAAAACAAAAGTTGTAGTGTTTGGTAAAATAAGTTTTTTTTTAAAGCCAAAAGTTGAGAAATGCTTTTTTAAAAGTAGTTGCAAAACAACCCTTGGAAACTCAAAAAGGCGTAAATTTTATAATTTTTGTAAACTCAATTGGTGCAGGGGCGAATTGTAGCATTTTCAAAACGGTCTTTCTCCGTGCACCTCCCAAATTTCTTAGGGCACCCCATTTACCCCAGAGACGGACAACTCTGCCCCTTCATTATACGAAGCACTCCGTTCTTGGTCGTTTCGCATAGGGACAACCGGACAAGCGCACCCCTCATGTTCAATGAGGAATATTAGCGGCACTTGTTTGTTTCTTCATCCCAAAGTCCCTTCTTATTTTTTTCATTTTTTGTTTATTTACTTTTCTTATTTTAACTTTTTTCACATTTTAAAAAATTACGGTTGTTGACTTTATTTACCTTTTTAAACAAAAACTAGATGTAACAAATACAATAACATCTCTATATTTTAATAAAACTAAAATAAATAAGGAACAAATATATAACCTCTTCATTTTTACATAGGGATGGAAACGGGGTAGATTGAGGATGGTTATACATACAATTGCATCCGCCCCATTGAATAATTTCCCTGGCCCGTGACTATCCCATTACTTAACGAGTAATTTTTATTCAAATCATAACTCCCCCGACGGGTAATGAGTATAACCGTAGGTGATAGCCCTATTAAATGAGCCATTGAGTGATATTTGAATATAAAATTACTATTTTAAAAGGTGAAAATGGCATTGCCTAGACAATTTTAGACTTCAGATGCCGCTTAAAAGTTTCATATCTCTACAAGACGAGATAGAAGATCAGACGACCTAAATTAAATTGAACGTACATATACTTAATCTGAAAAATAATTATTCGCGAAAAAAATATGATAATAATCAAACAAGACTATTAAAATCTATTATAAATCTTTCTTTCATACACTATAATTAGTACATCCATTATTCATATTTACACAATGAAAAGAGAAAAATATCCCCTTTTATTAATTGTGGGACAAATAATATATAAAAATGTAATAAAAAATAACTAAAAACAAATGAGGCAGGTAATGGGGCGGGCATGTATAAAACAGTAACTGCCCCGTTATCCATAAAATAAAAAAGGTATTTCCTACCTTGTGCCCGTTACCTGATCAATGCGATTTTCCCCGTTTTAACCGTGGTTGTTCGGTATGGGTATCCATTAGATCGGTCGCAATTACCAATCTCTAATTAGCTAGCTAACTCTTGATTGCACAAAGTCCTTAATTTTTTTATTAATAGGTAATTATTTCTATTATTAAGATTTAAATTCTTACATTTTTTTAACTTCTATAACTTATAAAGGTGTTATGGCATTAACTAAAGATGGGGATGCATTTCTTCAAAAAAAAAAAGGATGCAGATGCATAATGCATTCCGTATAATAAAAAAACTTATGGGTGCGCACAGCGAGGTGCGCCAAGCAACCCCTTTTCAAAAACTGCATTCAATGTCTGGTTGGGTAATTTCGAATAGGTTTGTTCTAGGGTTTAACTCAAGCAGGTTTGCTTTGCCTTACTATCTAAAAAAGCGATGCATTCTAGGTGCTTGTGAATGTGTCTCATTGAATTATTTGTTTCGTCAAACTTCTGTTGTTGCATTTTCTCCCCGCAGCTTGTATTTTCTTTTGAATTCCACTGCTTTCAACATTGAAGACCTAAATCTGCTGCACATAAACAATTAGAGCAACACCGCACTGCCTTTCGAGTTCCGGTGGAATATGGGGTGAGCTTCAAAATCTGTTAAACTTTTAATTATTTTTTAAAATTATTATGATGTATATTGTTTGTTTCCATAAATCACTTCAACTCTAACTTCATCTCTGGCTGAGAACTTCATCTCTGGTGGAATATGAGATTTAATTTCAGGTCTTGTTTCTTCATTAATTTGAATAAAAAGTAAAGGTAAACTGAGACTATTAATAATCAATAATATAGTAAAAGATATAAAGTATGTCATAAAATAAGAAAAGATGATCAAAACAGAAGTAGTTTACAATCTAAAATACCATAATTGTATAATAGTTTTCATTCTAAAAAAATCTCACTTTTCTCTCTGGAGTAATACCTGCCTATTCTACCATGCGCAGGTTAGTGAGGAAAAGATGATCGAAAACATAAAAGTAGTTTACCATCTAAAATACCAAAATTGTATAATGGTTTTCATTCCAACCTGCCTATTCTGCCTATTCTGCCTATTCTACCATGTGCAGGTTGGTGAGGTTTTTGCTGAAATGATGTTTAAGCAGGGCTTTTTGTACCATCATGTCAAATTATAAAATTTACCTTTCAGTATTATGTAGACCCCAATGATTACAGTACTTCAAAGTTGATTGTTTTGTTTTCTAAATTTGTTTTTGGAACCACAGAATCTGCAGTTGTGGCTACTGCTAGGCGGCGGCTGTTCTTGCAACCTGGAGATAGCAATATAGCAGACTGGGGTGTGGCTTCTTCCTCTGCTTCTCATTACTCTGATGCTGCAGCCTTTGGAGACCTTTCTTTGGGTTTTAATGCTGCTCATGATTCTGTCAGCACCGCCGTTGACGGTGGCAGTGCATCCGCCGCCCATGATGGGCAGTGGAACTCCTCTGCCGCTAGGAAGATGCAAATCAACTACGGGTTCTCACCGGATATGGGTATGTTTGTGGTGGCGCCGGCAGCCACCTTCCTCCACCACCACAACGGCTCAACGGCTTCAACGGTCAACCCCAACCGTATCACTGGATTCACAGCAAAGCCCCCCCCCCCCCCCCCCCCCCGCTTGTATTGGCTTTGAAGGTGGATCCACCCCTGCTCTCGGCGCCGGAGTGGGTGTGATCCCTTTAAGCTCTTACTTTGGTGTGTTTGTGTTTCTCTTTTACTTCTGCAAGGTGTACTGGTTTTTCTTACCAGATTGATAATATAGTATATTTTTTTCTACAGAAAATAAGAAATCTGATCTGGATGGAGTTTTTGCAGAATTGCAGGTGAAGGTTTGATTATAGATATGCTTTCATGACCCTATGGTTGGTTCCTAATTTCTTTCCTCCAGTTAAGTTGTTATTAAAAGACCCTTCCATCGTAAATGCATTTTTTGTTTCCTAGGGGAGTTGTATGATTCTAGCTAGGAGACCAACAAATGAGGTTTGATTAGACCTGGCCTCAGTGCGGGCCGCCCGGCCCGGGAACCGGCCCGGCCCGGGAACCGGCCCGGCCCGCTACTGTGCGGGACCGGACCGGCCCGGTTCTTCGGGTCCGGGTCGGGCCTAGGCCCGGGGGGAGGGCGGTTCCGGGCTCAGGTGCCTGTTTTGGTGACCCGGCCTGGCCCAATTTGGTTTTATTTTTTCATTTTTTTGGGACTAACCCGGGTTGGGCTTGATGGTTAGGAGGGGTTTGGAGGGGTGGAGGGGGGGTCAGGGGTACCTAAGAAAGGGAAAAAAAAAACCCAAACCGGAGGCCCGGACCCGGTGGCCACCCAGGCCGGTCCCGGGCCCCCTATTCTTGAACCGCTGGCCCGAGGCCACGACTAGGTTTGATGATGCTTTTTAGAGCCAAATTAAAAACTGTATATATGAAGTTGAAAAGGAAGTTGCAAATTCGTTATGGTTCTGACTCAAATTATTCTGATATACTACGTATTTACTTTAGGAATTTAATATTGTTTGATATAGGGTGATAATGTTGCTCCTTCTAATGCACCTTAAAGAAATCAGCCCCTGCGATTCTTCCATCAAAGTTTTTTTCTTCTCTGATTTTAGTTTTCCATATAACTTGAACTGAACTTTCGATTGCACTACTTATATTGAATTAAAATATGAGTAGTTTAGTACTTTAGTTGCTTGGATAGTTGGATATGTAGTTATGTTGTCTTATTGTTCATTATTTTTATTTTATTCCTTTCTTGCAGATTATTTGTGTTATAAAAGATAGAAGGATGGATCATTTTGAACTTTGAAGCAATATCACATGATGGAATATGATGGATATCTTTGAATCTTAATACATTAGTGTGTTTATTATTCTTGAATGAAATATTGTACTATCGTACAAATTAAACATTAGCACTTCGGATTTAGTAATGCATTTATTGTTTTTTGAATAGTTTGACAATACAAATTAAACTGAATATTCCTTATTCAGTTTTAGGGGTGGACTCGGGCCGGGCCAACCGGCCCGGAACTGGACCGGCCCGCTACCGTGCGGGCCCGGACCGGCCCGGCCAACCGGTTGGTGCACCGGTTCGGGCCACCCGGGCCGGTGGGATGGCGGTTCGGGCTCGGGCCCTGATTTTGGTGAACCGGCCCGGCCGGTTCGGGCCCAGTCCGGGCCGGATTTTAATTTTTTTTTTTTGAATTTTTTTTAAGTTTTGGGTTGGATTAGGTATTTTGGGCCATTTGAGGTGGTTTGGGGTGCTTTGGGGTTTGAGGGGGAGGGGGTTAAAAAGGAGAACCAAAAAAAAAAAAAAAAAAATAGACCGGTTGGCCCGGTCCGGCCCGGAACCGGAACCGCCCACCGGCGGTTCGGGCCCGGGCCCTAGTTTTCTGGCCCGAGGCCCGGCCGGGCCCAGGCCCGAACCAGGCCCGAACCGGCCCGAGTCCACCCATATTCAGTTTTCTCATTCGTATAATCGTATGTAGTATTCTTATTCCCACGTAAATTTGAGTATAATATAATTTATCATAAAAAACAATCGGGGCATTATTAAATTAAAACTGTATTTGGCGACGCTAATTGTGCACCTTGATTGGTTCATTAAAAGCCTCTCACATATAACGCTTTTATGATTCTATACCGACGCAAGTCACGCAAGGATTTAGCAACAAGGTCTAGCGACACAACTCACACAAGCACAGCCAATGCTTTTACAAACGCTTGTAAAAGTGCTTGCGACCCACATTTCGTTAAAACATACCTATAGATTTTGGGACTCAAATTTTATTAAAACATCCCTATAATTTTATATTTACACGTCTACCTTACATTTCGTTGTGTACTTTTGAAAATGTAGTAGTTTCCCGTGGCTAAGTGCTATGATAGCATATGACCTTAAAAAATTGTAAAAAACTCTATTTTTTTCAATTTTTTAATATTCAGTGAATCAAATTATTAGAAACAATTTCTGACAGATAAAACATTTTCACCACTTTAGTGAAACCGGTGAGGACACTGATCGACAATGATATTGCCATATTGGTAGTCACTAGGACTCCCTCCAGTCTTAAATAAACTTCACACTCACTAGTCAATGGTCGACTTCAATCACTCCTAATGTCTTTATAAATCAATTTTTTATCAAATTAAAATTAAAATTTTCTTGATCAGGCTTTGTAGGTTCTGAATATGTAGGTTCATTTACTAAAAATAATTCGAATGTGAACAGAGATCGAGTTGCTTTATCATCGATCAAGCATCATATACTGTATCAGAAGTTTATTTATGACCGGAGGAAGTAATATTTAAAGAAAAATCTTTTGAGTAAGTGGTCTACAATTGTAGTAGTAACAAGTTAAGGTAGAATTTGTTTAAATAAATAAACATGTCTTGTCTAAAATGCAAGTCACTAAACATTTTAGAACCTCAACAAAGTAGCAAAATAGGACAATATAGAAGCCAAGCCCTTGGAATTGAACCCAAGTGATTGACACCAACAACACCCAAGGAACAAAAATAAAAGGAAATTATTATTGACCTCCCTTGAAGTTTAGTACATTTGTAGTATAACGCACACTCCTGCAGTATCAAAAATGTACTCTTACCACTCTATCATTTGATGATGGTTAAGTAACTTGTAATTTATATTTTGAGAAATTAGATAAAGTCCTTCAAATTTTAATTTTGTTCCCTTTTAATGGTGTAATTTTATTAAATCATGGTTCTTTTGGTTGAATTTTTTCAATCAAGTCCATTCTGATCATTTTTTATATTTTTACTTAGCCATCATTAACTGAGAGTGCAGTTTTTATAGTGCAGGGATGTGAGTGATAGTATATCAAACCTGAAAGGAGGTCATTGCTAATTTCTGAAATCAATAAAAAAAAAACTCCAGCATCCACCTACAAAAGGAGATTTCAGTGAGACATTAGAGGTGTTGTTATTTGGAGATGGCTACAGATGGATGGCATAATCTCAAGATGCAATTGGGTAAATAGAGAGTACATTCAGAAGATTTCCTTGCAAGCAACGCCATCCCAGAAATCAGACGAGGCTATGTCCAGAGACATCATCCACCAAACTTGAACTGACAACCCAGGTGTAAATCCCCATTTGTTAAAGACTGAATTGGATTACATAATAAAATGTGCATACATACATGCATACATATTCATTCACTTATTCATCAAATAGTATCTTATTTAAGTTAATAGTCAAGCTAATTACTAATTAGAGCGTCTATGTATTCATGCATGGAGCTAGGGATCTTGGAAAATGCCTTGAATGTCATTTAAGTATATGTAGGATCTTATTTAAGCTAATAGTTTCGCCAAAAAATAACAACTGCCACTCCATTTGACTTGTCATGAAAATATCAAGTTACTGACCAAATTAGGACTTGGGACCGCAAAAGATTACAACTTAACACCAAATATTCTCAATCATGAAAGACACTCTAGAAATTACATTTAACCTATACAAGAATTTATGAATAACCTAGGCGTAGAGATGCAAAAGATCAACCAATTAATAGTATACAAGTAAAACCCAAGTTAAAACAAATAGCGTAATCAATAACATGAGCAACAAGTATGCCATGTAGGAGTTGTACAAAAAGTATTGCTTGATCAATTGATGCAAGCTATACAAAAAGTCCGAACAAGTATTTGATGATTATGAAATAATCTTCATTTATTATCACTTATCATCATTATGGGTGGTCCCGATCATTGGTAAGAGAAGCCCGAGTCTAACCCGGTTAAATCCAGTTCTAGGCAATTCCGGGTATTCGGGCGGTCTGGTCCCGGTTCCAGTCTTGGTCGGGACGCGATCCTGTTCCATTTTTTTCATCAGTTCCTGTTTCCAAGGCAAAAAAAATTGGCCAGTTGGACCGGGCACCATTCTATTTTTTCATTTGTCCCCGTTTCCAATGAAAAAAAATGGCTGGTCCGGACCCCTTTTCATTTGTTCCTTTTTCTTTAAAATTAATTCTATTATAAATTTTGTTTAACATTACTTATTTTATCTGAAAATTGAAATATAGTAAAATATTTGAACACACTCATCAAATTATGTTTTATCTTTTATTTCTTATCAATATTTCATATATATTCAATTTTGTTGTTATTATTATAAAACAGATTCCGAAGTAGTTTTAGTAATACTTACATTAAGATTAATATATCCTTGGTTTCTGATACGAATGGTGGTCACATTTTAGGATTAATTGTTCAGAATGATCATGGTTATTCTATCTATTATCCAAGGTTTAAAAAGGCGGGTATCAAGGCGGTTTGTTCCTAAGAGGCGAGGAGGCGTAAGCCTTGAGACTATTGAGGCGTAAGCCTCAAAATATATAGACATAAAACATAAAATAGTTAAACCAGTAACAAACTAACAAACAACTAAAGAAGTAAAGGATATATCCATAGTTATAAGTCCAAAAAGTGTGAAACACAAAGACATTTGAGCTAATACCAGTAAGTCATTAGAATTCAAACACACAAGCAGAAACATCACACACAATCTGAAAGATGAATAGAAAGTATAGGCTTGAAATGAAACAAGTCTTGTTAGGATTTAGTGTGGCCAAATATTTAATTAATGGATTTCTATTTAAAAAGTACTCTGGGCCTTTTATTAAATGAAATGTTTTGGCCCTTTTTTAAGTTACTGCACATTAAAAACAGAGAAACAAAGGAAAAACGCCTCAAAAAACGCCTCAAGGCGTACACATCAACTTTTACGCCTCTTAACCTGCAAAAAAAAAACTAAGCCCTGATACCCAATCAGTACGCCTCACCTTGAGGCGCGCCTCAAAACCCGCATCTTAAGCGCCTTCTTAAAGCATGCTATTATCAGAGAAACTCTCATATTAATCTGAATTCCACTTCCATTACTTGTGATAGTTTTTATACAAGAGAACTACACTAAAATTGTTATTGGATGTGATACATACCATAAAGGGGGCGGTAAGATCACATTGGAAAGCTCTATCCATTTTGCTAGCTATTAAAGAAATATTTGAGGGGTACAATTTAGACTTCTCGTACATTAAGAAACCATGTAACAAAGCCACTGCGTATATTGCGAACAATTTGGTGCATTGTGAGAACATTATATCATTTACAATAAATTTTTAGGAATTTTTAAATTTGATGCTATTAATTATACATATGCTCACTCATTTTTCTCCTGCGAGTTTGTTCATACCGGAACTGCTCCCTATATATATATGCATCTACACATTTGCTTCATTATATTTAGAATGCAGAAAAAAATTAAATTGAAAAGTTCATACATTTATAACAGTACCTACATGAATTCTTTATTTATTTATTTATTTTTAGTACAGAGCATCTTATTTGAGTTCAGAGCTTAGTCAAATACCGATTAGAACGCAATGCACGGAGTTTATCACGGCAGAGGCCCATACGAAATCCATGGGTAGGATGAGCAATAATATTGTAGCAAAACTGACAACCACCAATAGGTTTCCCTGCACACATCAAAACACGCGGTGACAAGTTTTACTCTCATTCTCCCTCAACATCCCATAACCTAAATCTATTCTCAAACGTAATAAAAGAAAAGGGGTAGGGCACGCATTTACATTAAGTGGAAAAATAGTTGGCGAAAATGGATGGTACATCGTACACCCATTTACATTAGGTAGGAAAAATATATAGTCAGGACAGAATACTTGCTGGTAACAGCCATCTTTTTGCTTTCCCAGGTCCACTATTATCTGTGTTTCTGCAGCTTTAAAAACCCCTTCCCTCTTAGAAAAGTGTACTATTCAGTTTGCCTATTAATTATCCCATTTCCATGAGCACCAAGTAGTACTTTCATTTCCTACTTTCTATGTCATCCCATTCTGTCCCGGACCTCAGTATCTAAACGCAGTATGAGATAAAATCAGTGAAAAAATTACAAAAAAAAAAAAAAGAACAAAATTGAAACAAACCCATCCTGGAGATTTATATGGACAAGAACGCTTGCGCACTCATAGCAATTTCTCTACACTACCCCCGACCCCAGTCTGAAATCCTAGGGGCGGGAAAGATTTGCCTGGGAAAACTTTGAAACGCCTTTTTACCTCTTAAAATACGACAGGCAGTAACAACTCTTCTTCCAAGTTCAGAATCCACACGAAGCTCAGCAAAGAAGGATTTGGTGGAGGCCTTCTCATTCCCATCTCCGCAAGTATTCCTGCATGGCTTAGCCTTGAAGTTGCAGTGAAACCACATGCCACGATATAAAAAGACAGTACTATACCCAGCCTCCACAAGTTCATACTTCTTCCCCTGCAAATTAAACATGGACAGGTGACCATACATTGAAGGCCAACAGCTACAAGGTAAAGCAAAGAAGATTAGAACCTAAAGAAGGTAAAGCAAAGAAGATTAGAACCTAAAGAAGGAAATAAGCTAAACGGATGATACCAATATTAACGGCATTTCAAATCATTAAAGGTTACATACGTTTCTCTTGTTATAATATTCCAATGCCAATTTAGCGCATTTGATGTCTTGATCACTTTCTCCCTCTCTCCGAATTGGAATCGAAATTGGTTGATCTCTAGGTGCATCATAGTAGATTCGAAGCTAAAGAAGTAAATCAGCAAAACGGATGATACAAATATTCAACGGCATTTCAAATCATTAAAGGTTACATACGTTGGTAATATATTCCAATGCCTTGCGTTTGAGGTCTTGATCAGTTGCTGCCTCTCTCTGAATTGGAACCGAAATTGGAGGATCTCTAGATGCAACATAGGAGATTATCAGCAGGGAAACATGGTTCACCAAAGTAAAGTAAAAAAATTGCTTCGTTCATCCATGTACACACCTCCGTTACCAGTAAGTATTCAAAAAAAGGCAATCAAAGCAAGAAGCAATACATAATATAGTTTGCTTTATTATGAAAAAAGAGAAAAACTTAAAACAGCACCATTAAACCTCCCAACTGGCTAGTGCACCAGCCCAAGGTTGTTAAACTCGAGATCCTAGTTAAACCTCCCAACTGGCTAGTGCACCAGCCCAAGGTTGTTAAACTCGAGATCCTAGCACGGATCGGGCGGGTCTAGGAGATCGTAACTCGGGGATCTTAACTCGGATCGTAAGATCCTACCAAACACACAATTCAATTCTACGTAAACGCTGGATTAATATTAATAATTAATAATAATATAATAATAATAACATAATGTCAAGACCGAAAGCAATAAAATAAAACACTTGGAACATAACAAGTTTAAATATAAATTACAAAACATTTGAGGGGGCTATTTTCAGAAGAGATAACCCACTTGCCATGAGCGACTTATTATTCCTATCAGAACTAGACTAAACTCTAAACCTACAAAAGAAGCGACAGATTTTCAAAAAAGAAAACGATGAAGCAAACGATACAGAGAACAGAGCGAGAACAAAGAAGGGATTAAGAAAATGACGAGGAACAGTGATTTGACACCGGCGAAGCAGGAGAGCTTAACGTTGCAGGTGACGCTTCGGCTTCCTTCGTCGTAAGTCGTCGATGTTTTTTAATTCATTGTTCCAGACTCAGTCGCTCAGGCCGCCCTTTGTTTCTCGTTTTTTGAGCTGAGAAATCTTAGCTCGATTAGATCGACGATTTATACGAGTTACATGTTTACTCGTCGATCCGGTGATCCCAGGCTACTTTTCGATCCCAGCAGCAATCCAACTCGACCCTCCCTTTTCTAATCGTAAAACCGTACGATTCACCGAGTTAGATCGCGATCTTGACAACCTTGCACCAGCCATTGCACTGGGCGTCGGGACATACTCAAGTTCTGGGATTGACCGATGATCACTATTTGGGCTATTACATGAGCGAACTAAAGGAAGCGATCTGAAGCTCGTTGCGTTTACTCAGACCGGAAAGTTTGGAGACTGCTATGGATTTAGCCCGTGGCATAGAGCACAACCTGTCAGTTCAGAATGGGGGAAGAGGGGTACCGAATTATGTCCCCACCGGATCGCGTCCCAGCAGTTCTTTGCGGTCAAATCCGATGACCTTTTCGGCTGCTGGGAGCAGCAATACTCGCAACACTGGAGGCAGCTTCTCGAAGACTACCGGGCAAGCGGCGGGGTCCACTTGCCAGGCGGCAGGAACCACCACTGGCTTGTCTAGACAGCCCACCGAACGCTCCAGATATACCAGACTACCCCCAAGAGTGTTGGTCTGTTGGATGAACTACGGACCAAGGGGTTATGTTTCTGATGCCGGAAGCCCTTCACACCAGGACATGAATGCCCTTTTAAACAACTAAGGGTGATGATTGCAGAAGAAGATGAAGAACTAGACTTGCACCAGCATGATTATTGCGAAATAACAGGGCAGGAGGAACCTCAATCATACAACGACCATCTTGAAGGCGAAAACGGTGATCTTCCGGTCTATGCTATGGACGGAATATTTAGCCCTCAAACGATGAGGCTCCGGGGAGTGATTGGAGGGTGCACGACCACGATGTTGATTGATAGTGGGGCCAGTCATAATTTTGTATCTTCATCCTTGGTATCTCTACTACAGCTCAATCCGGACAAGACAGGAAAGTTCGGAGTGCAATTGGGGGATGGGCATAGGCAAGAATCCGAAGGAGTATGCCGTCAACTTTCCATAAACTTGCCAGGATGTGCTATCAAGACCGATTGTTTTGTCTTTCCGTTGGCTGGAATGGACCTCATACTGGGGGTTGCTTGGTTAGCAACGTTGGGGGAAGTGCGAACAAATTGGAAAGATTTAACCATGCAGTTCAAACTTAACGGCAAGCAAGTGGAGTTAAAGGGGATGCCTCAATGTGCAAGAACGCAGTCAGTCTACGGACTCTCCTGAAAACAACCGATGGGGAGTTCAGTGCAGTTGTACTCATCAGGGAGACTGGCAAGATGGCAGGGGCAACAGCGGAATCACAGGAAGATATTCTCAGCCAGCATACGGAGGTATTCACAGAACTACACGGGCTGCCACCACGTTGTACTAAGGATCACCGCATCGAGCTGGTTTCCGGGGCAAGACTAGTTTCGGTTAAGCCATATCGGTACGGTCATTTACAGAAAGATGAAATTGAGATTAGTCGACGAGATGCTTCAGGCCGGCATCATTCAACCCAGTTCCAGTCCATTCTCCAGAAAGAAAGATGGAAGCTGGCGATTTTGCTTGGATTATAGGGAGTTGAGTAAGTCAACGGTGCCAGATAAGTACCCCATTCCGGTGATACAAGAGATGTTAGACGATCTGGCCGGAGCTGTAGTTTTTTCTAAAATTGACTTACGTTTCGGGTATCACCAAATCAGGGTGGCTGAACCGGACATCCATAAGACTACCTTTCGTACTCACGGCGGGCATTATGAATTTCTGGTGATGCCGTTCGGGTTGACTAACGCACCATCCACTTTTCAAGCTGTCATGAATGATTTGTTCCTACCTTACTTACGAAAATTCGTATTGGTATTTTTTGATGATATCTTGGTGTACAACAAGTCATGGGCCGAACTCTGAGAGCAGTTGGGTCAAGTGTTGAGTATCTTAAAGATGAATCAGTTCAAAGCTAATAAGAAAAGTGTACTTTCGGCCAGCCTCAGTTGGAGTACCTAGGGCACATCATCTCTCAAGCAGGGGTAGTTATGGATCCAGCCAAAGTTAGTGCAGTGGTGGATTGGCCTCGGCCGAAGAATGTCTGAGAGGTTCGGGGATTTTTGGGGTTGACTGGTTACTACAGAAGGTTCGTGAAAGAATATGGATTGATTGCACGACCGCTCACGGGTCTTTTAAAGAAGGAAGCCTTGACTCGTTTTCAGTGGACTGAAGAGGCCGAGAAAGCTTTCCGCCGACTCCAGAAGGCATTAACCGAGTCACCTGTGCTAGCCATGCCCCAATTTGACCGCCTATTTGTGGTAGAGTGTGATGCGTCAGGGACTGGGATTGGGGTTGTACTTATGCAAGAACGGAGGCCTATTGCTTATTTTAGCAAATCATTAGCTGATTGAACGCTGACTAGATCAGCCTACAAGTGGGAGATGATGGGGTTGGCCTTAGCGGTGCAACATTGGAGACCATATTTGATTGGGAGAAAATTTGACGTACTCACACAGCGCGTAGCAACCCCTTCCCAGAGTAAGGGTGAGGAAGTAGAATTGGAGCAAAAGAAGGATACCTTCGTGCAAGCACTGGAAACCGATCCGAATAGTGTACCAGGCTATGAAATAGTGGGAAGGCGGCTAATCTTCAAAGGCCGGTTGGTCCTAACTTCCGACTCTAAATGGATTCCTTGCCTGGTTGGTCCTAACTTCCGACTCTAAATGGATTCCTCGCCTACTGGAGGAATTTCATGACACACCAGCAGGTGGCCACGCTGGAGTGTATTGAACATACCGAAGATTGGCAATGAGCGTAATGTGGAGAGGAATGTTCCGTCGGGTGTGAGATTATGTTGCTCTATATTTGGTCTGTCAAAAGGCTAAATACGAGGCCGCATCCCCAGCTGGACTGCTGCAGCCCTTACCGATTCTCAGCCTGATTTGGGAAGATATTTCCATGGACTTCATCACTTGCTTACCCAAGTCAAAGGGATATACATCCATTCTAGTGGTGGTGGACCGTCTATCCAAATATGGGCATTTCATTGCCCTAAAAGCTCCGATCACAGCACGTTCGGTGGTGGAAGTATTTGTCAGGGAGATAGTCAGGTTACATGGCATTCCACGCTCAATTGTAAGTGACCGGGACTCATTATTCATAAGTGCCTTCAAACGGAAGTATTGAATCGGGTATTAGAAACATATTTGCGTTGTTTCACGTGTGAGCAGCCGCGGCAGTGGTTACGTTGGCTGTCTTGGGCTGAATATTGGTATAACACCGCGTTTCAAACAGCAGCGGGAATTTCACCGTTTGAGGTGGTTTACGGCTGGCCACCTCCCACGATTCGGCGATTTCTGCCGGGAGAAAGCACAGTGGCAGCAGTGGCAGATGTGTTGGGAAGTCGAGATATCATGTTGAGGCGTCTAAAAGAGAGTTTACAAGCTGCACAACAACGCATGGTAATTCAGGCCAATAAGCACCGCCGAGATATGACTTTCCAGGTAGGGGACAAGGTGTTCTTGGAGGCTAGACCACACCGACAAACCACTCTTTTCCGTCAGCCATATAATAAGCTCTCGGCCAAGTTTTATGGACCCATTTTTAATGAAGCACGCATCGGACCGACAGCTTATCGTCTTGCACTACCCTCCACCAGCCGCATCCACCCAGTTTTTCATGTTTCACAGCTGCGGAAAGTAATTGGAGATCACCCGGTGGAAAGTGCATTACCAGAAAGTTTAGAGTTACCAGTGGGACCAATATTCGAGCCGGAAGAGATCCTAGCGACAAGGAAGAAAAATGACAAGGAAGAAGAGCTACTAATCAAATGGGCAGGGCAGCCAACTGACAATGCTACATGGATGGACAAAGCGAGTTTTCAGGGCCAGTTTCCAGATTTCAACCTTGAGAACAAGGTTCTTTCAAAGGAGGATAAAATTGATATGGAGCCGATCGAGCCGATCGAGCCGGTTGATCGGCAGAGGAGTGCAAACGAAGGAGAACAGGGCCCCAGGCCCTAGATAGTTTACAGGAGGCGTGGACGGGATGGGGCCTACCTTCATGGGCTGACGGGCTGAATTATTAAGGCTCTAATTAGCTACTTAGTTTATTAATAATTGGTTTTTACCATGTTTCCTAATTTAAGTTTATTTCCTAGT